CTCGACAGGCTCGACTACCAATCGTTTGCATTTCCTGAGCAAGCTCAAAAGGTGTTGCAGGGCTCCTTGAAATATTCAGGTGACTCCACGTGCTTATTGAAGGCACCGCGGCATGCTTCCTACTCCTCGAAATAAACTTTTGTGCATGACGTGACACAAGTGGGACAGCTAACGCAAGAGAGAGGAGGACTGTCGGACCCTGCGACAACGGTTTGCACGCAGAACGTATCTCTACACATGGCCTGCATCTCCCGCGCGGTTGATCTCTTGGCAGACTGGCTGGTTTGCACACGGCACGCATTTCATTGCCGTTGCTCTTTCAACGGAGACGCATTCGTTCATCGCACGCGGCTATAGTCCTTGGTTACTCTTGCTCGAGCAAATTAGACTTAGAGTGCAGCCGCCCATCACGGAGTCCAATAAGAAGACGCCGCTACACGCGAGAGAAGCACAAATGCCTGCTGTACATGGTCACCATAAAGTGGTCTCCGTGTTCCGGAATTATTTTCTTGAAATTGGGAAGGTGTTTTCCCGGGTTTATTTTTACAGATAAACATCGGTGTTTGTGGGAGTTTCTTTCGCTTAAATCTTTAATTCTCTGACATTAGGAGTCTAATTAGGCATAATAGGATGTTCCTATCTCTGCTTAGTTATTTATTTTTTGTTAAAGCACGTTGATTTGTTGCAGATAGTGCTGTCTTAAAGACCTTTATTTTTGCTAACTGGTTAATTTTCACTGTTAGGAGACTTAAGCTGGTGATGTGCACAGGGGTAAGTTCACCAAAGTGTACTTTTGGGTGAGCTTGATCTTATCAAGCTAGCTGCTTCGCCGGTTTTTCTCCCCACCCTCCCTCATCCTTTGACGAAAAATGAAGGAGCTGATAAAAAAATAATAATAACACAAAATGTGGCATGAATGATATCTGACGCGAAAACATGTGAACACATCACGTGCACTTCAGATGTCTGGAAGACTATAGAACGTGCGAACACATCTACGTACAAGCAGCAACACTTGACTACAAAACACCTGCGTTGGTGCATATTGCACCCTCGAAGCTGGTTGTTATAGCCACTAATAGAGGTTGATGACTGATAACTCCGGTCGACGATTGCCAGCTTTAAATATGACCTTCAAACGTAGAAAATGCCCTTTCACGATGAGAGCTTATTCGATAAACCTGAATGGTCAGACATTTTAACAGCGTGTGTCCATTGGATTTTTTCAGACATCCGGAGACACGGAGCTCAATCTATGACCTAATGTATGCTGCCTGAGAAAGCGTATATACGCATCGTTAACCCTTGCGGCCAGGAAAACTAGAACTTGGGGAGGGTAGAGGACAAGAAAGATCAAAAAACAAGGGAAAGACAAAGATCTAGCTATAAATCGATGCAGTTTGATCTTTTTACAGCCTCTTTCAAAGATCTTAAAAGGATGCATGTGGTTTCTGCATAGATTCATGTGCAATACAGACACGTTTTTGATTTTGCTGCCTTTTGAGAGGAAAGTGTGTTTTGGAAATATGTTAAAGCAGTAGCATGCACCTGTACATATATGAGTGTGTGTGTGGCTTGTGTTTGTATAATTATGTAACAGTGCAGGAGTATATATGTAATGATATTAATATGTATTATGTTTTTATGTAATATTGCGGCGCTGCCGAATACATAGGGTTAAAGGCTAGTCAAGCTGTCTGGAGATGGCTTTTTTTCTACAATCCCCCCCATCAGTATCTCACAAAGATGGCAATTATTATTATTATTATTATTATTATTATTATATTATTATCATCATCATCTGGGTAGAAAGAGAGGAAAGGGCGACTGCCGATTTCGGCTTCGTGGCGTCAGCCCCATGGTGTGCCGCCTGCGGGACGCTATAGGGCTAAGGGGTGTGTTTCTTATGCCGGGGGCCATAAAAGTTCAATCATCGTCGACTTACCACCAGGGTTTTATTTTCCCTGGACACGGCTAAGCCACGTAAGTCATGGCGGGGGAGGAATTTGAAACCGCCCGTCGGCTAGGGTTCATGATCACGCTATACTCACCAATGTCTGCTCGGGCAACAATATTGTGGGGGGTCGCGTGATGAACTTTTATTGTGGCTTTCGGATGAACGAATAATGCTGGAGGCCCATGTGCTTATCTTGAGTCGAGAATAAAAAAAAATAGAGGTGGAAAAATTTTTGGAACCCTTCACTGTGGTGTTCTTCATACTCATATCATGGTTCTGCGCTGTAAAACTGCAACAAGTATTAATGAAGATATCGATTGTCGTAGCCATTGCTACAAAGTTGCGCGCAGGACAAACATAACCAATTTCATGCTGAATCTGACGCAATATTCGATAACTTTAGAAGAAAAGTCGACGCATTCTGTCCACGATCAGACTAGTGACGACTGACGCCTATGCCTGCCACTTTACAGACGCTTGTAGTGTTATTTCTGTTACTCGGTACAAATTAAACCTACGAAAAGTTTCATCTGTCTGCGCTGCAGTGCGCTCTTGTCACCGTCAACGCCACGTGAACATATGATGTACGTGAACGTGCATATAAACTTGTTTTATATGCGAAACTTTTTTTTGTGTATACTGCCAGCCCTTTAGACATATCTATATATCTATCTATCTATCTAGCTATCTATCTATCTATCTATCTATCTATCTATCTATCTATCTATCTATCTATCTATCTATCTATCTATCTATCTATCTATCTATCTATCTATCTATCTATCTATCTATCTATCTATCTATCTATCTATCTATCTATCTATCTATCTATCTACTATATCTATCTATCTATCTATCTATCTATCTATCTATCTATCTATCTATCTATCTATCTATCTATCTATCTATCTATCTATCTATCTATCAATCTATCTTTCTATCTAACTATCTATCTATCTATCTATCTATCTATCTATCTATCTATCTATCTATCTATCTATCTATCTATCTATCTATCTATCCTTTACGTGACGACTACGACGCGCTAGTCGAGAGAGAAAGAGCAATGTATATGGTACGAAGAAATGCAGAGAGGTTAACCAGAAAGCAAGTGTCTGGTTTGCTACTCTGCACTGGGGAAAGGGAAATGGAAGACAGAAAAGTAAGGAAAAGGAAATGAGAGAAAGAGAGCGGGACGGAAGCGAAAACACACAAACACACTAAAACATCACAAACGCTCGACGAGACAGGTCGATCGCAGAAACTTCAGGAGGGCCTTCGTCGCTTTTTGGCGTGAAGCTCGATCTTTCCGGTATTTAAAATTTTGTTTTTCAGAAAGCGGCTAGTCGTCGAGGCGTGCAAACACTGCTGACAGGCAAACACTGCTGACATCTATCTATCTATCTATCTATCTACTATCTATCTATCTATCTATCTATCTATCTATCTATCTATCTATCTATCTATCTATCTATCTATCTATCTATCTATCTATCTATCTATCTATCTATCTATCTATCTATCTATCTATCTATCTATCTATCTATCTATTATCTCCTATCTATCTATCTATCTATCTATCTATCTATCTATCTATCTGTCTGTCTATCTATCTATCTATCTATCTATCTATCTATCTATCTATCTATCTATCTATCTATCTATCTATCTATCTATCTATCTATCCAGCTACGTCTGGGTGCTCTCATGATCACTCCCTAAATTGACGTACACCTAATTCAGTACAGAACGGGAAGATAATTTAACGATTACGACTCGTTGGTCATGACATAAATAATGTCGCAATCTTCGTAAAAATTCCAAAAAACAGTGGCACATTCCCGGAAGCGGGTATGTGCTACTGGTATGCGGTTATGTGCCCCAGGTGATAGAGAACGGCGAGCACACCTATGAGTAGCTTTAACCCTGGAACGTTAAGAAAATGCTGCCATAAGCAGCGTTGACCGGACGAATCCAAGCAATAAATGGCATTGTTCCTGCAGTAATCAAACGCTAGCATTCTGCGTGGCAATGAAGTATTCTACCTCAGAGCCACGTCAGTCTCGAATATATTTTCCAAATAGATCCTAATGTTCGTGTAACGTTCATTGTGGTTGCAGTAATGACTATCCAACTTTATAATCGATACATATGTACTACCATGATACAGCCGCGATGTCGCGTCAACGAAAATTGTATTTAGGCGCCATCCGCTGAAGTTTTCTTGAGGGCTACCATACTCGCGTGCACCAGCGCAAACACTAGCGCTTCATATTAGCTTGCCAGTTCTGGTATTTCTAATATGCATGTTTCTGTTGGCATCGTTACGCAACTGTAAACAACTGCTGATATGAAACATATGCGGCGGCTTACCGTAACTAAATGTAGGAATCACGCGACCTAGAAGTAGTTACTTCGTAACTACGAAAGCGAAAAAACAAGGACAGAAAAGAGCGCACGCAGAAAAGTAGTTACGAAGTAACTACTTCTAGGTTGCGCTGTTCATACATTCAGTTATGTCCTACCAACTTGCCCAAGTTTCCACTCTAGTTAACGTATGTGTGCGCGTAGATTGGCACATATATTTGGCACCATTTCATAACGCCTTGCCATATAAAAAAACAAAAACCTTCACCTTTCATTTGTATGCTTTGAATAACATCGATTCTCAAGGTCCGAGGGATCTTCCGAGTTTTCTGCATGCTCCTTGTATTTTCATATCTTGGCAATCAACGCTGTGCTCTCACTTGAAGCCATAGGTGTAGTATATAGTATTTATGCATGCAAAGGTGTGTGATATCGCTCGGTGGTATAATCATATGCTTTAGGTGCACAGCGAAGACAGTTTTACGCCACTGTCTCTCTAGGCGGCTAAAGTAAGAATGCAGTGTGCAAAATTAAACAAACCTTTTATGAAAGGAATGCTTGCGCTCTATCTTTAGAATTTCAGACGCTTGAGTTCGAAAAATTTGGCTTCTGCAATGGCATTGTTTTCTGTTGGGTTGGATTTGCTCGATAAATGATTTTCTGACATGCAGGATTATAAATAAGACGTCCTTGCTTTGCTTCGAGGTTGAAATAGTGTTGGCAAGTGATCGAAGGACGGCGATATCTTATAAGGAACGGGTTCCGTACTCGCAGCTCGTACCAAGGCTTCACTGGAAAAAAGAAAACAATGCTGTGTAAGCGTTCTCCAATGCGGACCAACGTATACATTAAAAGTTAAATGGGCACCAACAGGATCATATTTTGTGCCATGTTACAATTAGCAAAAATCTATGCAAACAATTTTCATTTTTAGTGAGTTCAATAACAGCATTATTTATAAGAGCCCACTAATGTGCTCGAACGTGATGTGCTTGTCTTATCATGGCAAACTGCGCGAAAGGGGTTGGCACAACAATGTCCTCTCGTCGTGATGTTATCGCTTCAGTTATTTTGACAAGGGCTTCGCACATTTTTATATTGTATTTGACAAGTTCAGGTGCCTCTATGAGAGTTGTTCTGTTCTCTTCTGGTGTTGAAGTATTGTGTATGAAGGTGTTTTATCTATCATCTTCTAAAATATTTTTTTTTACCTATGCTGCGCCTAACCAGCAAATACCTATGCTGCGTTTCACGTGTGGACATTTTGTGCTCTTGACAAGTGCCAGTAGCGAGAGAAGTCTGCTACGTGCTTTGTCTGTCTGCGCTCAGTTTCTGCTAAAGGCACTTGAAGTGTATCTAGCTTGAATGAAACAGTGCGGCTTCGATATTGCAAAATTCAAACGTTCTCGTAAATCTGGGACAGATAGAAAGTTAGAAAACTCATACTGTAAGCGACATCAGCATGACCTAGTCGTAATAGCGTTCATGAACGGAGAAGGGGTATTTGTGGTTCGTTCATAAAAACACGCAATACAAACACGCGCAGTTAAACAGCGGAAATAAACTTACTCTTTGTGGTAGGCCAGCAATAGCATTTAACAATTTATTTGAAAAAAAAATTTAGGAAGAAGTTATACTGCTCGTGTGTTTTGACTACGTCAGTCATTACTACGACCATTTTCGCTCACGGTTGCTAGTGGTTTACAGGCATAAGCATTCATCTTTATCCTACTATATATTAGTCTTTGCTAGTATATTTCATGTACGTCTAAATACAGTAAAAGGATGCAAAGGGAAACACGAGGAAGGGTAGTGACAGACATACCATTAAATGTTGTTGGCTTATTTCGCTAAGCCTGCGCACCTGCAGCAACAACATTCACACTGCGCAAAGCTTATGTTGCATGCGAACATTCGGGGAAAAAGAAAAGACTACATCAGGTAAACAAACCTTATTCCATAAGCCGCGCAATAAGTAGACGCCTTGCAAAAACAATGGTGACGCTGGGCGGCGGTGTTTATGGTAAGGGAAGAAAAAACGACAACAAAAAGCGGGCGTCCACCATCTCCGTTCTTGTCGATTCCGCCTTCGTTATGGCAGCGGCGTCTCTCGCGATTGTTTTCCTCACGAACAGGTAAAAAAGTGATCCTTCACGCCTTCCGCCTCTAAACGACAACAAGATAGTTGAGTTTTACCGAAGCAGAAAGCTCCTACGACTGCAGCTAGAACTGCAGCGTAGAATCGCGTGGGACGCTACTGTCATAACAAAGACGGAATAGAAAAGAACTGAGCCCGGTGGACGCACGCTTTTTAGGGGCGAAGCTCCTTAGGGCGTGGGCTGTGCGTCCCCTGTAGCCTGTATGTAGCCACCTCTAGTTTAGTTCTTGCAGTGTTCACTAGATGGTGGTACCGTCCCCTGTATGTAGCCACCTCTAGTTTAGTTCTTGCACTGTTCACTAGATGGCGGTACCGTCTCCTGTATGTAGCCACCTCTCGTTTAGTTCTTGTAGTGTTTACTAGATGGTGGTACTTGTAGCTGGTGATGAAAAGATGCAAGATGTTATAAACTAGAAAGCGGTACTTGTAGTTGATGAAAGACGCGAGATCTTATAAAATAGGAATGATGTCACATATGGCGCGTGTCATTGGTTGAAGGCAATCGTTCGATTTAGTGCGGCGACGTACGCTAGGGGGAGCGATGTAATAAAATCGAGTGGGCAAATGTACAGAGGATTCATGGTTTACCAGGTTTACCTCCGGAGCTTCGCCCACTCATCATCATTCACTTCGTGGATATGGCGGAATTTTTTTTTTGCTGTTGTTTCTTCCTTCATTATGGACGCCGCCGCCCAGTGTTGCCGCCGTTTTTGCAAGGGGCTTACATAGGTAAATGCGTTTCAGATGCCAATGTATTACCAAATATAATATAAGCACCGGTATTCTTGCTGTCCAAGTTGCTTCTACAGTTGCTTCTATAGGCAAAATGCGTCGATTTAAAACGAAACCCCGTTATTTGAATACTTTTGAAATTTCTGCAAACGCATAGATCTTTTATTCACTTAGCTTGAAAAAAATGTAACGTTTGATAGCACACATACTCAATAGAAACAGGTATAGGTATTAGATTTTCCGGATGTAGCTGGGGTCCCCAACGCGTAGGGCTTCTTTTGATCTACAGAGATCTGTGTGTATCCCCATAAAACGCTTGCGCTCGTGTGTGGCGGACAAAGAAGACTGGCAGCTTACTAATACCGTCATACGCCACGTTCGAAATAAAACATCAGGAGCCATTCAATTCAATTACAATTAAAATACGTTCACTCTGGCGGGTTTCAATTATTGCATAAGTTTGAGAACTCCTATCGACTATATGGACTTTTTGAAGAATGTAATGATATTCTAGTTTGATAGTTTTAACGTTATAAACCTTGCTCTTTCACCTAACTTTAAAATTTTATAGAAAAGGAAATCTTGCGTACTAACGTTTACTGGTAAACATCGGTGAAACCCGGATGATTGCACACACGTAGTCCGAATCAAGATATACAAGATGGTGTTTAAAGAACGCTTTCGAACCTGAAAGAGGGGAGGAAGTCATTTTAGTTTTTTTGTAATATACAGAATTTTCAAAATGGGTCGATGGGAATGTTATTAAAAAGTGAACTCATACTCACTCCAAAATAGCTGTCCTACTCACCTAGATTGCTCTGCCCTATACAAGTACGTAGAAATTGAGCGATGGCGCAAAGAATAATATATGTTTCATAGTGACTTCTGGCTCATTTCAAACGTAATCTGCATGATGGCTTTTGTGCATTCAGAGCTTTTATTAAGAAGAACACTAGAGCACCTATTTTACGTAATCTAAAGCATAAGCTGCTTGGCAAGAATGTCAAATAACTGTTTCCTCAAATGTAAATGACATTCATATTCGTTGCAATTTTATGCCGCAAAAAAAAAACACCGTAGGGTGAATTGTAGAGGAAATTAGGGCTATACGCAGCGCCTGGCTTTGGTAGTCTAGAATATAGTCAATATATGCGATCCCAATTGCAACTTTCAAGAAATTATTTGATCATATCCAATTGCTTTCAGTTCAATGGTCCATTTAAAAGAAATACACTCACATAGCATCTTCTTACAAAGTATTGGTGGGCTGCCTAGTGCGGCATCCGGCATTCGAAGGGTTAGCGGTGCACTCCTTCACTGGACAAAGAGGGTGTTCATCGCTCAGGCGAGTTGGCTCAGCCATTGCTGAGACGAGTTGGCTTTCACTACTCCGTGAACAATTTGAGAATAAGGCCATCATTTCGGTGAGTTTACACGTGCTTATCTGATTGTATAGGTTAATGAAATCACTAGAGATCTGATTGAAGTTCATTATTCATGATTGATGCCATATATGGTTCCTTCCGCCATGGTTACGGTGCTAAGCTGTTGACCCTAAGGTCATGAGTTCGAGCCCGGTCGCTGCGGGCGCATATAAATGGAAGCGACATGGTAGAGGGCTATTTACTTTGCGATGTATTTGCACGTTAAAGAGCATCAGATGGTGAAAATGGGGGAGTGCTCCATTACGGCGTCACTCATAATCATGTGTTTGTTTTGGGACGTAAAAGTCAGCACAATACTATGGCAATAAATGAGTGATGTGATTGGGTTTGGTGGCGTAAGGAACCAGCTTGGAGTCCCTATGCATGCTTGAGTCACACCCTGAGCCTGTCGAACCGCCTATAGGTGATCATTCTGCTCAGAGATCTCGAAGGCCGCCTCGCAACGGCAGCGTCGCTGATGGAAAATATCCCTCTCGCCCTCCTCAGCCGAGTCTGCGGGGAGAACGAATTATATCAATGCTTTCTGTCCGCTAGTGCTGCCCACCGTTATAAGCACATTGCGAGTGGTGGTGACTTTAGGAGAATTGTTGGCACATTCTGACAGCATGGGGGGCAGCATTGCCCGGTTTCCACTCAAATTTTATACACAAAAAGAGTGCAAGGTCTGGTAGCGATGGCTTAATACGATCGGGTTATAAAGGTTATAAAATATCTGCTTAAGTCATTGAATCAAAATTTCATTGATTTATTTCTTCAAATAGTAAAGGAATCAATGAATCAGTCACTGGTTTTGCCATCCTCTTGATAAGTGAATCCACATTTGCTTTGATTCCGCATTCAATGCGATTTTTTAAATACTTAAGGCTATCTGATTTTATTGCTTGTAAGTACCATGCACATTCAATGAATGGCTAACTCAAGCCCCAGTTTGAGCAGCTTCTTTTAGAGACACACACTCTGCCACGCTACATGCACTCTGAGCGTAACATCGATCGTCTTAGGGCGCGGGTGAGGTACCTGAGTCGAATTCTCAGATACGTTAAGGAGAATAGGGTCTACTACACGGACGTGGCTCGCACGACAAACGGACCAACAGCGGTGGAGGACTCCTGAAATCGTAAGTGCTGCTTTGACCTCTTCTCCATCTTCAGCCACCAACTCGGGCAAGATCTCGGCAATCTAACACATCTTGAGCCACCCCGCGGGAACATATTACACACTCATTGATTTGCAAACGGCATGGCAGGCTTTCCTAACAGGTCGCGGCATTCCCGAAACCTCTCATTTTATTCTCTTACGCACATTCAAAGCTGCTTCACACAACAACCGCATCATACACTTGCTCTGCACTTCTGGGTCATGTCCCACTGTCCGCTAATGAGCATGCTCATGCGTCCGCTTGAGAACCCACCCTCCGAGAAGCCCCGCGCAGTGAGGCGGCCAATACAAAGCCAGGTTCCCCCCTTCTATCATATCACGAAGTCTGACAACATTACATACGCCAATGACCACAATACCAATTGCCACCAGACTCCTTGACACGCGAGGAGGCTGTCACACTTTGCCGACTGCAGACCTGAACTCTCCCGAAGCTCCCGTTCACTGATAAAATATACCCGACTCATTGTACTCATGCCTGCCCAGGCTGTGGCGCTATCTCCACCACTTTTCACGTTACCATATATAGTGCGCTCTGCCTACTTCCCTCTCCTCCCTACAATTCCGTACTCCAGAGCAGTGGGAAGGCAACCTTCGCGACGGTGCCCCCGAGTGCTGCCGGGCGCTCGTTCTGCTGGCCTGGGCTGTCGCAGAGCTTGACCTGGGTATCCTGGAATAGTGACCCAGCCAGTTTCTTTTTTTTTGAATTTGCATTATAAAATTCGTTCATCATTGTAGAGCCACAACAACTTAAGTGACGTCACCGAGCCAGTTTCTTTTTTTTGAATTAGCATTATAAATTTTGTTCATAATCGTTGAGGCACAATAACTTAAGCAACGTCATGCTGCTAAAAGGCGGTGCATCACCACCTCACAACAAGTCTTCACAAATATGCGTTCAGGCGGGCTTTCTCTAGTAATTTCTCTAGAGACTAATACACGAAGCACGCTTGGAAATAAAATTCTAACCACGTTGTCACTTTTTATTTTTGTAACTCGCAAAAAAAATACCAGGAAGGCTAAATTATTTGAGGAACTATTTGCTATGCTTTGATAACCTTGACTGAACGAGAGAGCTTTATCTCTGCCAGGGCCACCAAGAGCTTGTGAAACGGAGCACATATCATTATAAGATATAATTGAAGAAGTAATATGAAATGGTGTTCATTACCACATTTGCTGGTAACCAAGTTATTTTTGTATTGAAAGGAACCTTCCATTTCAACGGAAACCCTGCAAATGAGATAGGACTATCAGCTGGGCAGTGCAACGCCTCGTAATTTTTCTCCATACTTATCCTTTAGAGGGAACTTGACGTAGTACATATGTTGGTACTTAATATTTTCTCCCTGTAACACTTTTGTCGTATCTACCACACACCAATGGTTGAGCGATTTGATGGTTGTGTTGTATGTCCATATGGGTTCATTTGTGTTCAAGAACTGAAAAAGAAGTAAAACATGATTATGACCGACATCTTTTCTTCGTTCCTGTGCTGCTTCATAGATTTAGCTTTATTCTAAATACGACAAGTGCTCCTGAAGCCTACGTAGAGGTGTCATGTCAATACTTATGCTGAACTAGAGACAACGCGCGGTAGCGAATTAAGGGCTAACTTAAAAAAAAAAACGTGTTTCTAATTTTCGGGAACGACACGGTCAGCGTACCCTCAATATATTGTAAACCCCACGTCTTAGATATACCGCAATAACATCATTATTTATTGGGACATATCAGGCATCATCAATGGGTGCTTCATTACGAATGCAACTCAAAGAAAGAAAATTTTCAGTAAAAAACACTGGCAAAAGAAGGTGATAGTTCTTCCCTGATGGCGAAGCAACAAATTTTATTTATTTTATTTATTTTTCCATACTGCAGCCTCAATGAGGCTATTGCAGGAGTGAAAACAAAAAACAAAAAGAAGTCGAGCAAATCCACATTCATGAGCAGGCTTCCAAAAATTCTTGAAGTGATAGCTAACGAACACTTCCGGGCGGCATATTCCAGGCTTCTATAGTTGAAAGGAAGCTTTATGTGAACGTGACAGTGTGGGTGTAAAAAATTGCAATGTTAAGAGCATGGTTACTCCTCATAGACAAAGATCTGAAAAGTTTGAGGTATGATTCTAGGGTGCTTAAGCGAGAAAAATAGATTATGTTGTGCAAAAATTTTAGACATTCAACATGGCGACACTTCGCAAGTGTAGAAACCCTAGCTATGAAATAAAATTTGTTGGAGAAAAATGCCTGTCATATCTCTTGCATATAAAGTGCACGGCTCTTTTTTGAACAAATTGAAGTTTCTTTTTTGAACAGATTGAAGTTTGTTAAAGTCACAATTCTTATGGGGGTTCCAAACCACACTAACCATATTGAAGAACGGGGCGAATGAGAGTTTTGTAGGTAAGCAGTTCTGTTTCCTTAGGAGCAAGACGGAGCGTACGATGTAAATAACCTAAACTCTTAAGGGCTATGTTGCATGTGTGATCAATATGTTTAGAATATCATAAATTATGTGTCATAAGAATACCAAGATACTTATATTTTGACACCATACACAGACTGACGTCGTTAAAACCATAGTCAAAAGTCAACGGGCATGAACGCCTGGTAAATGACATAATGCGAGTCTTGGAAAAGCTAATATTCATTTGCCTAGATTTTTACCAGCTACGAAAAATGGAAAATGAATAGTTGAGAATGGCATGATCAACCAGAGATAAATGCAATAGCAGAGAAATGTAACAACAACCAAACATTGTGTCATAAGAATGAAGGAGAGCCGCTCACTCTTTAAGAAAACGCGGATACATTACCAAACGAATCAAACTTTCCTGCCGTTTATGGTTTCAGCCCAAACTTTCTGGTGAGACTACCAAATGTGCAAGCCTAAAATTTATCTCGTTATCCCCTCAAGAGATTAGGGTGCAACCACCGTCGACCACACACTCTAAGTGAAAGACTTTCTAGCGGCACTATGCAGCTTATCCTCTGCCTGCTTTCTTGAAGCGACGTGACTCAATAAAGGTGGTGCATCGTCCTTTTACTGCGCTTTTAGATACGTGTAGGGCGCATTGCGCAATCTCGCGGATTGATAAACAAGCTACTGTGGTGCTGCAGTGAATTTTACAGTAGAACCTGCATAAATATTAGGAGTATATAAAGAAGACAATCACAACAATATCTTGGATTATTTTATGCATGCGCTGTATTGAAATTATTGTATTCAATGTTCGAAATTCAGTGCGCAAGATGGATTTACATTACACCCTCATGACGGCATGTGCAAGGGTACTTCTGGGCACCACGCCGCTTTTTTGTACGTTTATCTAGCTTTTGTGATTTGTAGTCGGGGTTGCAGGGTTACGTCCACAGGCGGGCAATACGCGAGAAAGTACGGTGTAGACGGGAATAGTGATATAAATTTTTACATTTACCATTTATCTTTTTATTCGTTTATATATTTGTTTTCTAGTATACTGTCCACTCCAAGCAGGCTATTTACAGGCTCGGGTACACTTAAAGCGACAGTACAAGATACGCAGATATTACAGTGCAAGTGTTGGTACAATTTATGCGAAAGTGACATGACATGATTGACTTGATTGATATGTGGGGTTTAACGTCCCAAAACTACCCTATCAATATTGGAAATGCAGTAGTAGAGGGCTTCTTCGATCACCTGGGGTTCTTTAACGTGTACCCATATCTGAGCACACAGGCCTTTTCGCCTCTATCGAAAATGCAGCCACCGCAGCCGGGATAGAATCCCGGAACCTGCGGGTCAGCAGCCTAGTGCCTTAACCACTAGACCACCGCAGTGGGGCAAGTGACATGACATAGATACGCCGCTAATAATGTGCGTGCTAAGCATAAAGATATGCGTCAGTCGCACATATATTTACTTAGGTTACATCATATGTTAGAGACATTGGTTACAGCGTCGGAAAAGCAGCAGATTATTCATTTAGAAATCCATGTGATGACACAAATCATCTAACTCCTGTGCACTGTCCATTCATCAGACCTGACTCGTGATGATGAGCTCGGACAGTTCTATTATACCGTCTTTTTCAGCGCTGTTGGGATGTCTAGCGCATTTCACTCACATTATAATTAAGGAAAAATGAACAGAATGAAATTAGTAGTGTTGCCTTAAAAGAAATAATCAAGAGTGAGTGCGTGTTTATGTCCGGTGATCCTAGATTATTTATGTTCACCCAGTATGACGTTTTATTCTTGAATAAATTGTGCGAATGTAAGTAAATAAATTTAAGACGGTGAAGCTTCGATATGATGGATAAAGGAGCGAGCTGCGCTTCTCTATCTGTGCGCCGGCGTTCGCTGTAAGTTAATCATACGTCTTTACGCAGCCCACTTCAAAGCCTAGATGCGCAAGGAGACTTGTTAGGGAATGACGCAATATTTGCATACTCTGACGGCGAGAAATTCAAAGCACGTTTAGGAAACAAGACCTTGTTAATGTTGCTTAGGTACATTCGACTGTGGTGCAAAATAAATTTTGTAAAGCGGAGTGTAGAAGAAAGTTAGGTGCCGACACTGTCACGAAATGAACTTTGCGACACAGTCGAGCGGACATCATCTGTGAGAGCTCCAACTTGCCCAGAAAGTAGTCTTTTCGAAAGTGCTTCTTGATGATTTTTTTTTATATGCTGAACGTGTGGTGTGCAGTTCAATATGAATGCAAAGGTAACACTCGAATATTAGTATTTGTTAACAAAACGCAGTGCTGTCGGAACCACAAGTGAAATAGGGCGTAAATGCTGTCTTGGTGACGGGAATCGAAACTGTCTGATCTTTGATAACGATCAAGTTCCAATCGTGACACCATTCACGTACACTGTTTAAGAAATTCTGAAGTTTAATTTGGTCTGAGTGGTGTTTGGCTTAGTGGCAGAACACGCAGACATCTACAAACAATCTCATTTGGATTTCACATTGCTTAGCTAAATATTCATTAACGAAGAAAAATAATATGGTGCCAACACACATCCCTAGGGAACATCAGATACTAAGAGAATAACACCAAATGTGTCCGTCACGGTAGGCAAATTGGAAGCAGTCTGTTAAAAATAAAAATGTGTGATACATTTTCGTTGCAGGCCCATTGCCAAATCGGTGACACTGCCTTGGCCATTTTGTGACAGGTCCATAGTCACCAGAACAATTCCTAGTATGATACATGGTCGTACGCTTTAGAAAAAGCGAGAGAAATTGTATGAAATCGCCACGTCTTGTCGATATCTTATGCAAGGCCATGCATTATTTCGACAAGCTTCATAACAGGCAATAATTCATTTCTACGCTGATCGTAGGCTGCTTAGTTATCTTCTTCATAATTAGTTATATATTGTAATATTATACGCTGGATAATTTCACCGCTTGCGCATGTTAGAAAGGTAGGCTGGTAGTCGTTTGGGCATTGTTTATCTCCTGATTTGTCCACTAGAATTATTTTGTGGATTTCCCAATCTGAAAAAAATTCGACAGTTATCGACTATTTCTGGGACATGATAAAAAATATTTGCGGCAAGACACAGCGTAGTGATTCAAAAACCCATTAAAATGTCATCTATACCACAGTTTTTTTTGTCGAGGTTTTTTGTCAAGGTGCTCTTTACCTGTGGTGTGGAAAAAGGCCAAAGTTGTTCCTGTGCATAAAGGAGGAAGCGGAAATGATATATCTAACTTTAGACCTATATCCCTGACATGTACAATCTGTAAAATCTTGGAGCACATAATTCTTAAACAAATAACTGTTTTACTAGAAGAAAAACGTATATTATCTCCCTACCAGCATGGCTTTCGCCGAGGTCTTTCAACCATAACCCAATTAGTGGAATTAACACATGAGGTATCCCAGAGTATTGACAACCAAAAACAAACTGATCTAATCTTCCTCGACTTTGCCAAAGCATTCGACAAGGTATCACACAAGAAACTACTTCAAAAACTTGAGGCCACCTTAGGAAATTCTACTGTTCTTAACTGGATCAAAAATTATCTTACTAATCGTACACAGTATGTGGAATTTAACGATGAAACCTCTGCTACCACCTCCGTCACATCTGGAGTTCCGCAGGGCTGTGTGCTGGCGCCAATTTAATTTCTTCTCTTTATTAATGATTTGCCCACAAATATTAAGGAAAAAATCAAATTATTCGCGCATGACTGCGTGCTATATCGAGAAATAAACTCAACGGAGGACCATGTAGCTTTAAATAGTGCTTTACAAGATGTTTCCTGCTGGTGCCGTAAATGGCAGATGTCACTTAATGCAAACAAGTGTACAATTTTATCAGTAAGTCGAAAAAAAACTAGGTCAAACTTTCTTTACACC